GAAACTGGTCATCGGTGGCACAATATTCCCGCACAAACGCATTCACAAAGCCACATGGATTTCACCGGACCACACTACTCAAAACCAAATTGACCATATCTGTATCAACAAAACGTTCAGAAGGACCATGGAGGATGTGAGAACCAAGAGAGGAGCTGATATAGCTTCAGATCACCACTTGCTGATCGCCAAAATGAGATTGAAACTAAAGAAGCACTGGACAGTGGGGCAGACAACATCACACAAGTTTAATACGGCCTTTCTTCGGGATACCGTAAAACTCAACGAATTCAAGATAGCCCTCACCAATAGGTTCCAGGCCTTTCAGGATCTACTCAATGGAGAGGAAGCAACATTGGAGAACAATTGGAAAGGGATTAAGGAGGCAATCACTTCAACATGTCAGGAGGTCCTTGGTCGCAAGAAGCACCATCACAAGGAATGGATCTCTGTTGGTACTCTTGAAAAAATTCAAGAAAGGAGGAACAAGAAGGCAGCTATCAATGTCTGCCGAACAAGAGCAGAGAAAGTTAAGGCGCAAGCCGAGTATACAGAAGCAAACAGGGAAGTGAAGAAGAGCATCAGAGCTGACAAACGAAAATATGTGGAAGATCTAGCAATGACGGCGGAAAAGGCTGCAAGAGAAGGAAACATGAGACAATTGTACGAAACAACATAGAAGCTCGCCGGGAACTATCGTAAACCAGAACGACCAGTGAAAAGCAAGGAAGGGAAAATAATCAGCAACACTGACGAACAGCGAAATAGGTGGGTGGAGCACTTTAAGGAACTATTGAATCGACCAGCTCCACTGAACCCACCCAACATCGAAGCAGCATCCACGGACCTCCCAATTAATATTGGCGCACCTACGATTGAGGAGATCAGTATAGCCATCAGACAAATCAAGAGCGGCAAAGCAGCAGGACCAGACAACATTCCAGCAGAGGCAATGAAAGCAGATGTGGAAGCAACTGCGAAAATATTTCACATTCTCTTCAAGAAGATTTGGGATGAGGAACAAGTACCATCAGATTGGAAAGAAGGATACCTCATCAAAATACCAAAGAAAGGCGATCTCAGCAAGTGTGAAAACTACAGAGGCATCACTCTTCTTTTAATACCAGGCAAAGTCTTCAACAGAGTATTGTTAAACAGAATGAAGGACTTCGTAGACGCCCAACTTCGAGACCAACAGGCCGGATTTCGTAAGGATCGATCGTGTACTGACCAAATTGCTACATTACGGATCATTGTGGAACAATCAATTGAATGGAACTCACCACTCTACATCAACTTCATCGACTACGAGAAAGCATTTGATAGCGTGGATAGGAAAACACTTTGGAGGCTTCTTCGACACTACGGTGTGCCTGAGAAAATAGTCAACATCATACGGAATTCTTATGATGGATTCAACTGCAAAATCGTGCACGGAGGGCAGCTAACCGACTCTTTCGAGGTGAAGACCGGTGTCAGGCAAGGTTGCTTACTCTCACCCTTTCTCTTTCTCCTGGTCATCGACTGGATTATGAAGACGTCAACAACTGGAGGGAAGCACGGTATCAACTGGACAGTTCGGACGCAGCTGGACGATCTGGACTTCGCAGATGACCTGGCTCTTCTATCGCACACTCAACAACAAATGCAAGAGAAGACGACGAGTGTAGCAGCAGCCTCTCGAGCAGTAGGTCTCAACATACATAAAAGAAAAAGCAAAATTCTCCGATGCAACACAACATGCACCAACCGAATCACGCTTGATGGAGATACCTTGGAGGACGTTAACACCTTCACATATCTTGGCAGCATCATCGACAATCAAGGTGCATCCGATG